TGCATCAGTGCAGCGTCTTCTCTCACTGCATCGCAAACAGAATCTGTCTCACACGCCGCACAACAACTGGTGGAACAACGCAAGCTGCAAGCACCGTTATCAAGAAAGGGCAACAGCAGCAGCAGCAGCAGCAGCAGCAGCAGCAGCAGCCGCCGCCCCGGCCAACAAACAAAACCAGAACTTTCAGGTTAGGACAAGCAAGGGCCTTCCCGTCAAGTCTCCTCTGGGCAATCACAGCACCCCCAACCTCTCCTCGTGTGGCTATCCCTGTGAAGCCCTCGCAGGGTCTCGTGCAAATTGTAGGGACAAGTCTGGTCCCAAAACAAGTCTGGTCCCACAGCCCCACCAAAGGCTGCCCGAGCTCCTCGCGCAACTCGCCCGCGTTGGCCTTTGGAGCCTGATTGCACAAGGGGCCATGCCATAAATAGAATGGGCCACAAATCAATTCTAGCATGGGGTCGCAAAAGATCTCATGCGGATTCTTGAAGAGTGCAAACAGGTCCAACCTTCTACAAAAGTAAGGTTGGCTCTAAACCATCTGGACCCGTTCTCCCTCTCTGAACCCGTGTTACCGTGAATCCTAACCTCCCAAACCTTACATTGGGCCCTACCTTCCAAATCCTGCACTAGCCAAACCCTGAGCCAACAAACTCCAAGCCAGGGCCCCGAGCGCTTTGGTGGGGCATGTCGCGGGAGAAGCAGGCCCACAACTACGAGAATGAGAGCAGGCCTTTGTGGCATTGAGCTTAGGCCAGCAGGTGGGACCAGGTTGGCTTAGGGTTACTCGAGGGAGTTGAAACTTTGCCATCAACAGCCCCAAACCAAGAGATGATCCCGTACAAGCTGGATATAATAAGCTCCAGGCAAGACCTCTGCCATAATCACTGTTTAGTTCCTACAAAGCCCGTTCATTTCAATGTGGAAAAACCAAACCATGCGGAGACCTTCATGAACCTTCGGCCCATCTCGGCTCCGACCACCACTGGAACCTTGCCCAAAACCCTCGGCCCCACATCATCCTAAACCCCAAGCCTCATCATCTCCCCTTCAAAGTGGTAGTCCGAGCGGCGGCACCAGCAGCGTCAAGGCGAAGAAGGCCCAGGCCGCGGCTGAGGAAAGGAGGCCCATCAGATCCATTACTTCAAGTCTCAGGGCTTAAGGCTTGAGCATCTACAAGGTTGGGTTTGTTGAGTTGGGGTTGGGGATACTTGGGGGGTAAACAGGCTCGCAGGCAAAAATGTGCTGAAAAGGTTGGCAACCAGTGCTCATCGCAACAATCACCCTGCTGGACAGAGCCACAAACAAAAATCCGAACCTGCCCAGCCATCATAGACTCTATGGGGAGATATCTGCACACATGCCCCTGCATGTGTAGATACATATACATATATGTATATATACACACATGGGTGCTACATCGGTTCCTGAGCATGTGTAGACACCTGCTCGCGCATGCCCACTACGTACCAGCTGCTGCTTCGTCGCGGATTTTGCACTACTCGTGTGATTCTCATCATGGACTGCTTCAGAAGACAAGGCAGCGGAATGCAAGGGATCAGTCTGCTTGAATGCCTACACCCTGTCAAGTTCAATTCTCGTAGGAAGCGGCATCATACAACGATCAGAGGTGAAACTCCTGTGCAGACACCCAGCGTCTCGAGACAGTCCCCTCAACCACATACACCTCTTCCCAAGAAACTGGCCAGTGCGACTCTGAACATGCATAGGCTTTAATGGGACTGCCTCACAGCATTGAGGACAGGATGTGGAGAGGCAGAGCCTCCGTATCAAGCATACTGTATAGTCACTTGTACAAGCATCACTGAACCCCGAAGCCTGCGTCTGCGGCCCAAGGTCATCCATCCATCCACTACCTGCCCAGAAAAGTTCCGCACCCCAAGCAACGCTGTCTTGGCCAGCCCCTGTTTCCCAGACCAGACATCATGTAAGCAGTGCTCGAATTTGATGGCCCATCTTGTTTGCAAAGCTACCCAACAGCTTCCTTCCAAACCCTGAACACCTCACCGCATGCCACAAAAAATGCTCCTGGCCTTGCCATTGCAGCCGAAGGCGTCGGATTGTAGGGCCGGGATGCTGTGACATTCTGGCTTACAGTTTGTTGGACACAGGCGGGCATTTTCAACAAATAGCGGGTCCCATTGGAGACTCTGACATGAAACAAGCAGCCACTGCAGCACTTGTGTTGGGCAGTTGAAACAGCTGAAAAATTTGGTTGCATTTGCAAGATCTTGACTTGTGAACAAATGATATGGAAATCCCATTGTTTCTGCTAGTCGCCATATTTTCTAGAATAACTTTGAAAAGGCTTGAAGTCCGATTCAGAAGGCTGGTGTGAATTTGGAGCGCGCGGCACCAAACATCCGAAGCAGCAACTGTCATTAGTCTGGTCGTGGTCTCAGCAATAGCAGCAGTCACTACAAATCGTTCGTGTCACTCTTTCCAACTACTACCAGCAGCAAGAAAGGATCAAACAGCAATAGCCCTCACAGCAATCACGAGGAGTTTCATATTGCAGTTGAAAACCAAAGTCAACCCTACAACCAGTAGCAGCGGCAGCTCTCCACATGATAGCTTTCCCTCATCTCATTCATTGCTTCCAACCAACCAAAAGGGATTCATTCCAAGCTAACGTGACTCCGCTGTGGCTCACATGCTGCCCAAGGAGCTTGGATTGTTTTTGCTCCGCAGCAAACCGCAGAACTATTACTACCACGGTCCAGGTTGGGGGTTGGGGGCTGGGGAACCAAGAACGTCCCCCACCCCCCTCGCTGTCACTTTCCTGACCGTGGCATGCCCATATTGCCTTTGCAACGGGGCACGCTACGGAAACCTACTCGAGCAGTTGAAGAAGGCCTCACATGCCACAAGGTCCAGGCAACCCTAAACTGCGAAGCAACTCTGCCAGTCTGGATCTTCATTGCTCTTGCTATGGCTGCTATGATGTCTCTGCCACCGCCATGTTTATTGCTACAAGTTGCCTGCTTGTCAAGACCATCCATTTCATCATTTCATTACAACACAAACATATTCACGGTGCCCTTTTTGCCCGGATGAAAGTTGAAGTGGGCTGAAATACTGACATGACTGCTCGCATGCCTTCCTGTGTGTCCCGCGCTCAGAACGCGTCACTTCACAACCCAAAGAAGGATAAATAAGGTATCGGCAATCATGAAAACAATGAAACTTTAATTGCTGCGAGCCTGCCGCAATGGTGCAAAGAGGTATGGTCGCAATTGCTGTGATCTCTGCGATCATTTAGCCTAAAACTCCGCAATTGTACAACTACGTACCTAAAAGAAAGCAAGCAACACTGAGCCTCAAATCACCATGCTGCCCACGAAGGGAACTCGTTGCGGATAAGGCCCCCAGAAGACTACATAACATTAGGCTCGTAACAGGCAGAATCGAATGTCAATTTGAAATACAAGCATCAGATTCGCTTGCATCATAGCGCGGAACACCCGAGTGACATGCTCACTTGCACACTATCCTGAACCAGTCGGAACTATTTCAGCCTCAAAAAACTACCCTTATGCAAATCCCTTGCCCGTCGTACGTGCGACAAATCAGTGGCCCTCAGGTAAAGCAAGAGGAATACCCAGCACAAAGGGATTCCATCAGAACTACGGCATCCGCCTTGTGCGCGAGGATTCAAATCCCGACTCAGGCAGCAGCAAGAAGAATGCTGAAAAAGTTGCCGGTGAGATCATGATATGATGCCCGAGTCGTTTTGCCCCCCCATCACACGCTCTGACAAAACTTGGAAAACTGGCTCCCAAGGCAGAGGCATCAATCTGTCCCGGTAAGTTCACAAATTGCTGACAAGGAGCTATCAGCCTGACACATTCCGGTACCACAGGGCACGGATCACTCAAAATCCCAGGCATCGCTGGCAGACATACAAGCGATAGACACCGCAAGAGACAGTTTCCAGCAACTTATGATCATGAAGAGGTTTGAAGCTTGGGGCTTAGAAAACGTGATGCCAAACCTCAGCTTCGCCACGAAATAGGCTAGAAACATCGCAGCGCTTACGAGTGGTGAGTTGAAGAACCCCGGACCTCCAGCCACTACATCCCCAACCCGCTCCAGTTCCTTTGGCTGGCGGCTAGCAATCGCCGATCACAATTCCATAAGGCCGTGGGGGTCCTGCTCTAAGCTCCGATCACCCCTGCAACCTAGATCATACAGCTAACTTCCCGAAGCTGCCCTGGGACCCAGGAATACAGAGGCCATATGCTCTGCGCGCTCTGGCTTCGCCAGGTTACACAGGACCTCTGATATCGTAAATTAGTGGTAGGATCCACCCCGAGAGCTAACCGAGAGCACCATGGAGAATTTCCTAGGCTCCCTCAACTTCTCTTGGGAGATGATGTCCTATGTATACAATTCAGAGCTTCGGCTCTACAGGTCACTATGCCAGGATGCAGTCTCTGCCGAATGAGACTCGAAGAAGATGGAGATGCCAGACTGAGTCTGCTTAAGTATATTGGTGTTGTACAGGGATAATGGAAACTACTATAGTATATTGGGATTATATAGAATTAATGGAAAAGAAAATGGAAACTACTATATTGAGCTATGTAGCCTACTGAGTCTGCTTAAGTTTGATTGCCTTGAATCGACGTGGCTTTATTTGTCTCCTGGCAGCTTAGGACTGTGGGCCTCAACAATTTGATACAATAATCTCGAAGGAGTTGTGCAAGTGAGAGTTCTCTTCCACAATTGGAGAGATCTACCCACTCATCATGATAAAATCCGCACCAGTCTCTTTCAACTTCCATATCCTAATTGCTGCATTCCTAGACAAGGTTTTAAGCTTGCTTCTGTAGCCGGTTCACGGCACATATCTATTTACACGCTTAAAACGCGAGACAAACTGGACTCAGCGTCTGTTGGCTGTTACCTTCTTCTCTACTCAGCTGCTTAGACATCCAGGTGCTCTTTCCTTTGGCCACTCGGTCTGCGCCATTGGCTTCTCAGACAGCAGTCATTTCTGGCTCGTCCTCGCAGGTGTTTGAAAGGCCCTTCCCCAATGGTCACGTTTGCAAAGAGTGCAGCCTGGAAAGACTCTTCTGCCCTCAAGAAAACTTGGGGGCTCCCTGTCAAGCTTCAACGTGAGTGAAGGCCAGGTCCTAGCTGAACAGCCAAATTCCCTGAAGCCCTTGAAGCCGCCTCAAGCCCTACCACAATCCCCATGATCAGGCCTTGCCCCCTGTTCTTGGCCCTACATTAGGCGCCTCTGGCGTCTCCATCTCCATCATTTTTGGGGCGCGCTCGCGGTCCGGCGGAGGGAGGATCTCGCCATCCTTCTCGCGGCGGTAGAAGACCTTGGTTTAGGGTTGTGAAACCTTTTTTGTCGTGCCTTTTCTGCGCTGGGGAGATAAGAACCGCCTGCTAAAAGTCAGAATGCTGCTTTTTTCGTTAGGCAGGGCTGGGGCTTCTAGTTCATGGACGCGAAGAAAGAAAAGTATACTTGCAACGCCAGGGACTGCATACTCGGGGTAGATGGAAGCTTCATGGAAGAAGATGAACTCCCGAAAGGTGCCGACAGCCTTCTCTCGGTCGCCCAGAACATGGTGGTACTCGCCACTCAAGACTTGGTCACTGAAGTCGCCTGCCTTCTCCGTGACGTAAGACCGGCCAAGGATGGCACGACAGACCAGCACCGCGTAGAGCCCATCATACTCGCCTCCCATGTCATCTCGCGCATACTCGTCGGCCTTCGTGGAGCTCTCTGCGAGGTAGACACCGGCGCCAAACATCGTGCCTCAAGGACTGGCCGCAAATAGAGGGGGATGGGGTCGACATGAGGTGAGAATGAGAAGGATTTATGAGGATTCATGCATATCACTGCATGTCGTCTGTGCCTGCGCTCTTGCCGGCAAGGTTGACCGTAAACGAGGAACTCAAGATTGCCACAGCCGAGGTGGGGTTGGTGCCGTGCAGGAGGTAGGCTTGGTTGGCCGGATTCCCAACGCTGGCATGTGTACAACGTTGTGACAGGGCCTCACACGCCTCCATGGTCTTTGGTGTTGCGAAGGACTCGAAGACACCCATTGTAGCCTTGCAGCTCTCAGCCACTTCTCGACGGCGCTCCGCAAAGCGGTTCCAAAGGGCCGGTTGCTCGCTGCGGATGCATTGAACAGCCCGGAAGCGATCGGCCAAAGGCTGACCGTCTTTGCGATCCCGGGTGACCTTGTTCTTGAAGGTTTTGTCCAGGATCTCCTGCATCCAGGCCAACTCCTCCGCTGAGCCCGGGACCAGCTTTTGGCCCAAGGTCCCAGCAATGCACCCCTCTTCCGTCCAGTAAGGCGGCGGCTGTAGGGGTGGGTGACCAAGCTCCTTCACTTGCCCAGCGGCCATGAACACGGCACGCCCGCCCGGCCGGTGCCGGAACACCATCTGCATCTCTCGCGCTGTGACACCAATGAAGTACTTGTTGTCTCCACTTCCATGCTGGAAGTTTTGGCTCAAGTTGTCACTGTTGCAAACAATCAAATCCCACTCGGCCACTTGATCAACCATGTAGTCACACATGCGCATAGTCCACTGACCAATGTTGCTCTCGCCGTTCATGAGGCCCTCATAGCGTCCTTCCTCACCTATCTTTGCCGGGTACATTCGGAAACCATCAAACTGGTACAGCCTGTCACAATTGGGTGGAGTCTCACACATCTGCCCATCCATGTATTCAGTGATGAAGTGGTGCAGCTTGTCATACACGCCATTGGTGTCAGGCCCGCAAATTTCCTCAGCTGCCGAAGGAGCTGGTCAGTAGTCTGGCTTTGCATGGAGGCCCATGATTTGGAGTTGCTTCTTCGGCAAAGCCTAAAACGAACGAAAAAAAGGTCTGGCTTAGGACGCACTCAAGCCTGCTTAGCTTCAATGTAGCTATGCCATCGTGCTGGCTCATCGTGGTAAGGCTGCGTCCTGAACTCCACAAGGAGAAGTGGTGCAGCAGCCTTCTCTGGCGACTTTGTGAACTTCACCTCCACAGCTTCGAGACCTAAATTCCATTTTACAATCCTGCAGGAAGTGTGCACTATAAAAAATAAGTCCGCTTGTGGAGGCCGATCTTTCTTGGCCGAAACTAGCACAAATCCGCTGAAACTTGGAAACAAGCGCCCGCTAAAACTTGGCAAAAAGCGCCCGTACCCCCATCAAACTCCATAAAGCCCGGGCCCTGAGCTTTGTCTAAGTCAACTGAAGATGAGATTTGAAGCCTCCGTTTCAGGCCCCGGCCCTTTTGCTACAGTCTTTGTAAGGGACCTTCTATTGGGATGAGGGACCCATGCTTATCCTTCCCTTGAAAGCGCTTGCCCCAAACAGCGCCACTGTCAGACAACCCCAACTGGGCCAAGGTAACATTGGAATAGAACTTCACAAGGAAAGATGCTTGACCGCAACTGTATGGTTCAAAAAGCATGCTGACTGGGTGAAGCCAGTTCTGGATAAGCTGTGTTTCTTAGATTCTGCGATGTATTGTAGGATCTGGACACGCTCAACTTGAGGGGACCTTGTAGTCCGTGGAATTCCATAGATAATGACTACAGCATGGCATGCCAAGGACTGGAGCCCTGGCCTGCTGCTCTCGTAGGATGCGATTGGGTCTGTGGCGAGGGTCCGGGGTGACGCTCCCACCATTGCAGAGCATCAAAGCCTTTGAGGGATTGGTTTCTGGGCTTTCGGGGCTTCGGGTGAGCTTTGGTGGCACCACCTTAGGTCCGTCTACAAAGACACAGAGGCTCATCAAGGTGAGCTCCAGGATGTTCAGGTTGCGTGGCTGGTAGGTCGGTACTCTTCAGGAAGCCTGCTAGGCTTCCCATTACCCCATTACCCTACCCACCCAGCAGCTACCTGGATCCGTTCTTGACTTGTTTTGATCTCTTAAAACTTTCCTGTTTCCTCTTCTCTACACTGCTTGCACCGTTTGATATCCGGTCTGGGAGACAGGGCAAATTAAAATTATGGCCCACAGCGCAGCAGTGATCCAGCTTTGGCCCCTGCAAGCCTGCGGCATCTACATGGGATCTACGAACTTAGCTCCGCAGTGCAAACCCCCAATACCCGAAAGTGCGCAAGCTCCGTGCAACCAAGACGCCCATCCATGCTGTCCCAGAAAGCTGGCAAGCTCGAGGGTCCTCCAATAAGGTATATTATTGGAGCTATATTGGGATAATGGTAATATGTAATAATGGAAAAGAAAATGGAAACTGCTGTAGTATAATAGGAGTGGATCTAAAGTCAGAGGCTGCGGGCCAGTGACCTCAAAAAAGACCCTCGAAGGCAAGTGGAGGAGAGCTGTATGCCGAGCATCCAGTCATGCGTCTACAAACTCTGCGGTACGGGTTCCGCAAGAGCATAATCATGTGATGCGAGCATGCTTATCAATAAGATACCATGTATAGAATACACCAAGTAGACCACGCTTCATTTCGGATCCCGAAGTTTGAAAGAAATATCCGAATGCGCAGGCCTCTTCCCCAAGTTGTTGGCCAGGTCGTACCTGTAATAAAAGTCATCCGGGCACCTGCAGCATGTGAACTTTACCCGTGGCGCTGTCATGGCAACCAAACATAAAAGACCAATAGCGCGACCGATGTCATTTATCTGCGTACACGCGTAACATAAGCCCTTTGAGGCACGCGCGTCGTGCTTGAGTTGCTTGAGGGTTTCGCCGTGGTGGCTTTATCTCGCTTCGCTTTCTGAAACTTCAAGATCCGCACAATGCCCCTGCGAAAATGTCTCAGACGTGCTCTAGGCTGCAAAGAGACGCGAAAGGTGCTTTATTTCCCATCACCCTTGTCCGCTTCCAACCTGCTTCAAATTCCGGCAAAAGCGTCCCTCATTCTGCTTATTGATTCTGCTTGGCTCGGTCTTTGCTACGGGATTGCTTCTTCTGCGCTGTACCTTTTGTCGCCAGAGTGGTATGCCTGGTGCACCAGCTTTTTCGCGTGTCAGGCGCATTTAAAATTTTCCTCGAGGTAGTAGACATGGCAGAGGTTGATTTCACTTCAGGTTCTTTTAGAATGAGGGGTCCGCTTCTGGAGCCATGCAGTCTTGATCCTAGTCTGCTAAGGATTCAAAAAAAGATAAGCCTCTTGAGGCAAAAATACTCCTTCGGATAAAAAACCTTGGACCCTGAGCCCTTGCAAAGGGTAGAATGACGGCACTACAAAATGGACACCCCCATAAAGGCCAGAATGCATACTTTAAGACTTGACGACTCAAGTTGCTGAAGAAGGACATCCTCATAGCTTTGGAGGCTTCAGTGGCTGCTGTAAGCACACGTAGGGGGCCGATCGTCTGCACATACACTGCTCATGAAAATATACCTCCGTCTGACATGCAGAGTTTTCAGCTGGCCCGTCCTTTTCCAATGCAGCACTTGAACTGACAATAGACAGGGTCGACACCAATAGAAAGTGAGGATACCTCACTACTTGGTGCAACTGTGCCTATGCATGCAAACTCCAACTAACGCCGATAACCAGCACCTAGCCCCGTATCAAACTCAATTGTATGGAAACAGCACGTCATGTCATCACAACAGTCAACACTGGATGACTCCATGTCCGGGAAGTTGGCAAAAGTTTTACAACAAGTGGGTGGGCATCTAAGAGTTTCAAAAAAGCAGGTGAGTGCCTTAGAAGCACTCAAACCTGTCCCAATGGTTGATTGCAAGGAACGCGACAAGAAACGCATAAATTCAAGGCAAGAATCCCTTTGGTAGCACTGCAGCTCAGGCACGTGTACTTCAAGTCGCAATACTTCTCATCACTCTCCCAGAAATACTTGGTGTACTCCTTGCAGCCCCACCTGGGCAAGGGACAAGGCGATCAGAAGAGAGGTTTCGGCAGGTCTGCTGTGGCCTCAAATAATGTCGGACTGCCATGAACTGGCTGTCAAAGAGAGACTTGACTCGGACTCTCGAGACCAAATTTCCAGCTAGAGATTGCTTCTCTGCAGGGCTGCGACGGCCTCAGAAAATGCCAAGCCCGTGTAGCGCTACATCGAGCATCTAGATAACAAGCTCCTATGAGCTGCCGCAGATGTGGTGCTGCAATGAACGTCTTTGAGGAGCTGTGTGCATATTCTGGCCTGCAATTTGAGCAGTCAAACTAGCACGCCGGGCAAACTGTCAGGAATCGTTCTTCATGCCGTGCCCAAATCGCAATGCTCAGAACTGTCCACAGTCACATGCACCATAAGCCCCAAACTCAGTGCGAAACCCAGACCCCACGCTCCAACTCCCAGGCAACGACGTGCCAAATGCTCAGTCAGAAGCACTTAGCCCGATCAAAAACCAAAAGCGGGGCGATGAAAAGGGATTCTCGAACAAGCCTACTTCAGTCCACGTGGCTGCTCAACCATGAAGCTGATAAGGTGCTCCTGCATGTCACAAGGAACACCCCCATGAAAAAGCGCTCAAGATCTTACCCGCGATGCCGGCTTCTGAGCGTGGATGAGCTTTCTTTTGTCTTGATGGGTTTGGGGAGCTGAGGTTCAAGTTGTGAGCGAGTCGTTGGATATGTAGGTGGACTGTGGCGTAAAAAGTATATTACTGGAACCAAAAGACAGTCAGAGCTTGGACAGCAACATACCCCTACTTCCACAGATTGTTGTGAAATGCTTGACCTGGGCCTTCCAGACAAGCCTAAACCTGAAGGCAGCGAGGCATGTCGCCCCACAGTAAAGATCTACTAAATGGAAGGGCGTAGCACATTTCTTCGACTTTGCTGTTTTGCAAGCATGGGAAAACATGCGCCGAGCGTAGGTCTATTTTGCAGGCTGCAATATCTCCAGTAGAAGTTTCAAGTCGCTTTTGTTGGCACATGTGGGGCGAGGAAGGAAAGCGCACATGTGCTGCAGCAGCTGCTGCTGCTGCAGCAGCAGCAGCAGCACGACGTAGTGCGTGGGCAGGGTATAGCATTGCTGCTTGAGTTGATTGCTGTCTACTACTACATGATCTCACCACAAATCCGACCATAATCACCTCGCAGCTTGATGGTAGCAATCCTTTGTGTCACCAGCATCATGGAGTCCATTGATCTCGATGTAGCCAACCTCTCAGGGACAGTAGAACTTGATGCTGTCTGTAAGATTACCTCTTGTGTTGTTGCTGGTGTCAGGCTAAGAGTTCGTGGATCCAGAGCACACGGCGCACAGCCTACCTGCAATCCCAGCGCCAGTCATGCAAAGACAAGCGCAATGTTGTAAAGCCTGGTTGCCCCTCTGCCTGAACACACCCGGCAACATTCCAATTCAGCTCAGGCTAAAGATGGCAGAGTGCCCGAAACCACACTTGTCACCTCTAGGAAGCACGTCCTGGCCTGCATGGGGCTAGCACAACATCCAGTACTAGATGCACGACCTATGTGCCAACAGTGCACATTTGGTGTTACATCCCCCGCGGGTTCTTGCCTGACACCCTCCTAAAGGCAATACTGAGGGTCTCAACGCCAGTCAGATAATCCACAGTTCATATAGAACTATGGCTAAGCCAACAGCGACTAATGACAAGTTAATGCCACCTTCTTGCTTAAGTCCAGGGAGGTATACTGGTGTCCTTCAATGCCGGGTAGAAAATGGCGTTCGGGTTCTGGAGCTTGGGCTTACGTTGTTTTTCGGCTGAAATCCCAAGTGGGTCTGACAAACCCACATAAAGGCATCAGAGCATCGCCCGAACCTCCCTAACAAGGATTCATGATGTCTGAACTGACTATTAGGAGGACTGTGCTTCATTGCTGTTGCTGAAGAATTGTCTAGACTAGGCCCGCATTGCCCCACCGTCCGCAGCTCCACCATGATGTGATCCGCACCATGCTGAACGAACTCCTGAACAAGCCGCTGGATAGAGTGGAAAGCGGAGGGAAGCCCAGAAGCCTCGTGCTTCAAGCTGCGAACGTCAAGTTTACACACAGCATTTGACATTTGACTGGAAACGTGGCGATCCAGTTTCAAGGACAACCCGGATGATTGATGTTACCGCGTATGCAGCCGCAAGGATTGCTAGTACGTAAGCTTTCTTCAAAAAAGTCTTCCTCCGCTGAACATGCACCGAACACGCCAAATTTATCAAGACCATGGGGGCTGTATGATCAATCATTGTAATCCTCGCCTGGCACAACAAAGAAGAACCTGCAAAGCGTGCGCATCCCATAAAACCCTATGAACCCGTACAAAACCGTGACAACAACTACCATGCAAAAGAGTACCAAACGTGATAGACCAGTCTTGTGATCGTTTGGGACACAGTCCCTTCGCCATTTCCCCTGCGGGCAGGCGGCATCGTTCCGGAAAATCAGCTGCTGTTCGCGCTTGGCGCCCGTACGGCCGAAGTTGCCTGGTTTTTGAATGAGCCATGGCACGCTGCACAAAGATGTGCAGAAGTAAGGCTTAAAGGTATCATAGTAAAAAACATTTGTGACACGCTCACCCCAAGCACAATGAGAAGGCCGCAGGGGTTAAAAACATGCCCCCCCCGCTCTACGGCGGAAGCAGAAAGATTCCAAGGGAGAGGCCACGCAAGGCGTGTGCTCTTCTGCTCGAAAACCAAGGTGCCGCCGTTGCACGTGACCATGGTCCACTGGCACTCCTGTCAACTCTCAAAGTATTTGATCTCAGCATTGGCGATCATCTCCAGTATTGGACAAGCAGCAGCTACTGCTGCAAGACAGGTCAGAACAGTCTGAAAAAGGCACACGCGCTGAAAATCCACCTTCCTTTACCTTCCCGCAGGCTGCGGTCAATGCGATGGTTGTACTGAGCACGAGCCGTGCTACACCCACGAACCCCGGCAAGCCTCTGAGATTCAGAACAAATTGCTCTTCCAGAGTCGAGCATGAGACCAGCCTCAACCAGCATTCCTATGCCAATACTTCAGACCTTGGTCTCAAAGTCTGGGCCCCCGGTCCTTCACCATGAAGTCAACCAACTCCATGGTTCGTTGTCCCATGTTGTTCCTTTGTCTCTGGTGTGAAAAATTCCCACTGCGGTTCCGTTGAAGCTGGATTTAGGCCTTCAGGCTTTGAATACACCTTGAGTACGCATGGTGTCGTGGGTGCCTACACCACAAGATTCTAGAATATAGACAACCCAACTGTTAGCACATGCCCATTGAAGCAGCCTTTCCCATGCCGCCGTTCAAAATGGTATGGCATGCTAGTGCATTTCATGCACTCTTTTTGCTTTCGTTGCGCACGTCCCAGGCTTACACCAACAGCGAAACTACATGCTTCTTGGCTTTGCTACCAGCTGTGTGGCTTCAAGCCTGTTTCTTCTGAAGCAGTGATTCTAGAAATATATACTCCGCACCCCTGAACACTGCATGCAACAGCACAGTCCAGTTCATGGAGTTTAAGACATGCATGATTGCATACGTAAACATGCATCAATGCCCTCTCGTAGATGCCAACAATGCTTTTCCGGCCCAGGCTCTCTCCCTCGCTGCCACGGCTTTTGAAGGCATCGGTAGCGAATTTCAGGTCGCAGTAGTTTGGGTCTGCCTGCCGGGTTGAGGGACTCCAGACTGGCACCGGCGACCATCTAGGGCTGGCTGGAACATCCAGTAATAGTGCACGGAAGCTGCGCGGAGCTACCAAGATGCAATCTGATGATCTCCTCCTGTTGTATGAGTAGTCAGTACTGATGCCCGTGAGCCGTTCGATCCTCCTGGGCTCCGGAGGTTGCAAAGCCCAAGGAAGCCTCCTTGGCATATGCCTGCCACTTTGTTTTGAAGAAGCCGCCCAGCTTTTCGAAGATGTCCTGATATTGGGCCATCCAAGCAGCACACGTCAGCACCAGAAACAACCACCGTGGCATAGAAACAAACAAAGACTATGATGGTGAGTGTACATGTAATGATACGCACAGGCAGCGTAAGCCCAACGGCCAAGAAAAGGAGGAGGTCCTCATTGGGTCCATGAGGATTTCTCAAACAAGGACCCCTGACACCACGGGGATGTTGGGGGAGTACGGAAACTATTGGACTTGGCGAGGATGATTTCGAGAAGTCAATGGTTAGACTGGAACGCCAAGTATTGCAGGGGACCATACATGTTTCATGCTGATGAAAGTTCACAGGTGGGCAGACGGCCACGGTCCCCGGGAAAAGCAGTGGAGGTTTGAGGTTTTGGGTCCCACATTGACGAGGACCGTAAGATTTCAGCTTCCCAAGTTTTCCCTGCGCTTGGTGTTTGTGTGGGGCAGAACGGGACTTTGGTGAAGAGTCCGTCGTCTATAAGGCACGTAACTTGCATGGCAGCATGCAGGCTTGTCAAGTATTCATGGCACATGTGTGCACGGTGCTGCTTCTCCAATGTCTCCATTGTGCATATTGTACGTTGAAACCTGCACAGTTGTCTGCCATCTTTGCTGCTCAACCTGGGTCAGCTGTGCTCGATCTCAGGCAATGCCACATTTTGGCATCTCCCCAGCTTTCAGCAAGCGTCCATTACCTAGCACAGGCCGGTTGCGCAGGTTCCGGCTGATGCAAGGCCCATTGTCGGTGCTGCACCAACATTGCAGATGTGGTGTTCCCTGTTCCAGGAACCGAATTCGCATGTCTCCTGTCTGTGGGGCTTCTTGTTGCGACTATTTCCACCTCAGCCTCTGCCTACGAATCATGCTTATGAAAGTTAGCACTGGGTTATGGTAGCACCACCGGCACCGCCGACGACAACCAAGACAGTAACTATTGCGGCACAATCAAAACGAGTAATCGGCCCAAGCCCCCAAGCCCTAAGCACCGTCCTGGGAGTTGGTTCCGTTGATCTCAATATATCCCACCTGGCGCTCTGGGGCTGGGTCTGGGATTTGGTAAGGCCTTCAGCTTGGAAGGCACGGAGACTTTCGTGCTTGGGGTAGATTTGGGGGTACCCTCGGGAACTTCCGAAAGTGGAGTTTCTGTTGGGGGTAGCCCAAAACTAGAGGTTCTGTACCTTAAAGCTTGATCAAAAGGCTGCAGCAGCAGCCATCCTGATACCAGTTCTGTGTTGTTGCCGCTGACTGTTCTTGCTGGCGCTTCAGGAGATAAAGCATACCACTTGCAAACTGCAAAGGCAGAAGGCCCCCTCAAACCTAAAGCCCCTGTAGCCTGTAGCCTAGCTCCACTTGAGAAACCTCAATGGTCTGGACGCTGGACGCATGTGACCTAGAACCTGCAGGAACCATAGACGATTTGGAGAATCCTTGCAGATCCCAACCTGCCGGAGCTCGATCATCACCAGCGGGGCCACCAAGTTCAGCGGGTGAGGGGCCTCTCTGGGGTTCAAAGGTTTAGGATCTACATAGGGGAGGCCGAGGAAAGCTGATGAAATCCGGACTTGGAGGCTTCGCACCAAAGCTGTGCAGCACTGGAGAGTATGACTGATGAGGCTTCTCTTGCTTGTCCACTCGCTGTCAAGACCCCGTCTTACTTTGGGCGGGGTATTATGACCGAGCATCCCTCACTTTCGAGGTTGGACGTGCTCTACTAGGAAAAGCACGCACACCTGAGACACACTCCGCCAGTGGAATCACACGTGCTGCACACTGCAATCCACACACTACTTGCATTCACCTTGCAGATTTCAGTATATGGCTCAAAGGTGAAACTTGAAACAGTCCAGCTTTGCAGGGCACAGCCTCCAGCACGTGGTGATTCGTAAGCAGGCGGCCCCAGCAGATAACCCTGAACTTCATGCCCACGCATACCATATTTTGAGGGATTCTCTAGTCCAATGTAGCGGCTATGGACTGATCACCGAGCACAAGGGAAACCCGGCTCTTGATAATGCATCCGCAATGTGTTGGCGTTTCATGAAGGCCCAAATATCATGATCATGGTCAGCTTTGTACTGTTGTACAACTGACTCCAACCATTTCGGGTGCTGACGGATGCCCGTGTAACACCCACAGACTGTTCAGGTACCGAACCTGAAGATGTCCTCGGGCTTAACTAAGAACGACCATCCAATCCATCCCTCGACGCAAGCAAACAATCAAAGAGCTTCCCTTAATACAGAACTGATCCCCAAACCAAGAACTTGTTTTTCAAAATCAGCCGCATCCGGCTTCTTTGCAACCCCCTTCCTGGCAACCTTTTGTTGCAACTGGTCAGTCTGCAAACAGAAGCCGATTCCCACAGCCACACCCACACTGATCCCAGAAGGCATTTGTGATTTCCAGAAGTGATAAAGATGGCTCATGAGAGAGTGCCCGGCTTGTAACTACCCGCCCTTGTCAACTGAACCTGACTTCCCTAAGCTACACCCCAGCCCCACAGGGGTCTGCCTTAAACTTCATCTGCTGCTCTCGGATCTCGCCAGCCCAGCCAAGATTTCCTGCGTCGCAGACCTGCTTCAAGCCTACCCGCTGTGTTTAAAGCTTCAGGTTTAGGACTTCAGGATGAGGGGCTTCGGGTTCAGGATTTAGGGTCCCACGTGAAAATGCCTACGTTAGAGCCAGAAGTGGAGCAGCAGGCTACAATATGCTACAATCCACTTCCAATTAACAGGCATTGGACAAGTCAGGAAATGCCAGGGAATACATGCATAGGGGAACCATGCAGGGCGTGAAGAAAGCCGTGGGAATTTTAAAGAGAACGCAGATCGTCTTCTGGAGTTCTCCTTCAGGCCCCTCCTTTGCAAAATCGCTGCTTCTTGCCTAAAACGGAGTGCCAGGCTCCATGAACTCATTCAAGGGTATCGCCCAAAAAGGGCTTGCCAGTTTTGTCAAGCCATACCCGTCTATACAACGAAGCAGGGCCGTGAGCTCCAAGCTCTTGGAGGGGCAGGGTTGTACACTTTGGAACACTCTCTCACTGTGGCCGCTTACTGTTCAACGCAACAATGGTCCTGCCACCTACCACCACTTTTTGCCGCCGCCACCACCACCACCACCACCACCACCACCACAACCACCATTGTCAGCAGCGTTGCTCCTAGGGCTGGGCTTTTCTTTGTCTGCAAACCAGGTCAATGGCTTGTCCTTGGTCCCCGAGAAAACAATGGGCATTAGCTTAGTACCTTGCAAATGCTCTGGTCTTAACAAGCTGTGAAAGGACTAGTTAGTCCCAGCTTGCAAACATTCGGCATCGAACGAATTTACCCTCAGATGCAGTCCGATACATGGCACATTTCCTACTTGCACCCAAAAGCTCTAACCCTTCGCGTGAAACTGCTCTGGGTGATCTTCTGCCTAGCTGATTGGAAGACAAACATGTTTGGCAGCTTCACCTGCAGGGTCCACCCGCACTCGTTGGTCATGAACTGCGCCTAGGCTGCTTGGTAAGCTGAGGGCCCCTGGTACTGCAACTTGGGTTCTGAGGGTCGTGGAACTCCCATCGCCCCAAAGGCGTTTGTCAGCGTGCCAAAGGCAGCGAATTGTGCCGCTGCTACAAACTCTTTTGCTAGTGGCAGGTTGACTTGCTTTCGAGTCTGTACTGTGCAAGGCCTGAGTTCTCAGGAGGGTGAGGAAACTGCTGAACAGAAAGTCCCAAAGCCTGCGATCTAGATCCATGCAGGCCGTACATACCCTGCACCACACAGAGTCATCCATGGCATCCAGTGGTCTAATTCCATCAACAACTCCTATCTGCAAGGCGCCAATTGCATCGTCAGCTTTCCCATGTTGTTCTCGCCCTCCCAGCCGCGAGCCTCCGCACAGACTGCTCACATTTTGCCGCATTGATGAACGAGATACAGGCTCGGCTCTGCATGGCTCGCACTGCGAGCTGCACGCAACCCAGCATCTCTACAACCTGCATGTTAGACGACTGCCTTGTAGACACCATTGAGAACAGCCTCGCCGTTCTCCCTCAGCACATAGATGATTGGACACAGGCATTGAAGACGACTGAAAATTGAAGTCCAGCACGAATATAACGTTAGTACTCACACATATTTGAGCATAGGTTGGCTAACATCTGGCGAGCCGTCCAGTAAAACATCTTCAGAGAAGCCAAACACAAAACAGAACAATGACGCAAACCTTGTTCTATTCTGCGCCTGCGCCACAGACATCAAGCTTGCAAGCTTCGTGGTAAGCTACAAACTCGCCAGACACAGGGAGGGGGGGGGCCTCCATAGACATGCACGTGCGTACCTGCTTGCTTCTCACCCCTGTCTGCTTTTGCCGCATATGGGGCAAACGCACAGCCAAACCCCTACAACGATCCCAGAACAGCCCAGATTTCAACAGATCTAGTTTGTCAAGGACTACCAACCCTACCGACCCCTATCCTTGCGGCACCTGACAATCTGGGAACCCAGTGGCTCGAGACGTGGCCCCAGGATCCAAGAGCGCTCACACGCTTTGTGGTGCTCCTGCATATTTCAGGGATTAAACAAGCTATTTCTGAGAGAAGCCTGACAACCTCCAAGTCTGGTTATGTCTTCGCTTTCTTGTCCCTACGTTATTGCGACAAAGCGTACCCAGCACTCTCTTGAATAGTAAGGGCCTACATGGTGAGGTCTGCCGTTGCGTTGCAATGAAGCACTGGCTTGCCGTAGCCTACAGAGCACGAACTCTGAAATGCGACTCCGTTCTTTTCCAAACGCTAACATGATCAGATTGCTCATGGCTAATGGCACAGCTATGGAACAACACAAGCAAGCAGCACAGGAAGGAGGCTCGAAGGCATCTTACTGAAACCCCAACGCAACAGCGGCAGCTAGGCGAAGAGACTCCAACGTCCAGCAATGATCAAATAATCGGCTATGAACTCTGAAGGAAGCATTGCCTCTAAAGCTTCAGGGCTGAACCATCCTAGGTAAAAAAAAAGAACTCGTTTACGGGATCCTGTCCTTACTCAAAGAATTCCAATTTTCCGGCTGTCTTAGATACAAGCATTGCTAGACATCCTGAAAATGGTCGATAGAAGCACCCTTTTTATCTGTCGTTTGCCAGCCCCTGCGTTGCCTCCAAGGGAGCAAGTAGGTGGGTGTAGTAGTGGCCACAGCAGCCGCACTCCCTTAATCCGTTTTGCAGCACACTTAGCGGTTCGGAGGGGCGGATCGAACCTGGCACCCTGAAGACGAAGAGGTGTAGCAGTCTAGCGTATACATAGCGATGAAAAGCAAGAACTACACTGAAAATCGTTCGATGAATACGTCAGATGAAGCCTATGGGCCGCTGTTGGCAACCCGACCGCTGCTGTGTCCCGTCTCTGAGTAGAATCACTGGAACAAGGGGGGGGCTCACAACTGGTAGACTCAAGTCGGCAAGCCAGGTTGAAGCGGAAAATCACCTGGACCTAGGCCCAAGACTCACAACCCAACTGCTTCAGACTCCTGTGCTTACAAAACTGTCTCAAAATCATAGCCGCCTGCTATTCCACCAAGAAAACCCATCCTCCTCCTCCTCCTCAAAAAAGCAGAAACTTAGATGTGAGAACCGCTTGCCATCAGCTGGCTGTTCTTCGCTGCAGGCCAGCATGAAGCCCTGGTCCTGCGGCTCAGGATTTGAGGCTAGGGTTGGGATCTTGCAATACTATTAACGGTAACAAATACGCAGATGGCATCACTGATGAGAGTTGTAGCAGCAACAACACAGCAGTAGATCGTAGTAGCAGCTTGAGTCCGATCCTTTTGTGTGACACTCCAGTTCTTGACCAGCCAATCATTCAGCCGCTCGTAGATCCCGCCAGTGTCCTTGCCTTGCACCCTCAGTACACAGGCGTGGAGTGTTTTGGGGGGGCCGGATCACATAGCCCTTGCTGTCCCCATGTAGCTAATGAACTGTTTGGACTGGTCAATGCCAAAAACCGACACAAAAATCTAGCCCTTCAGCGTCGAGAATTAGGCTGTATTGGCCTTCATGGCTCTCACACGGTTGTATATGCGGTGCAGCATGCCGCTGTCCAAGGCCTTCAAACGACACGTCAGGCAAGACCACCTACAGCTCCTTGAACACGAATCGTGTTCTTGCAATCGCTTGCCAATGGAATGGACGGTCTTGTTTTGGCAACTCCGTTTGCTGAAGCCCCTTGCCCCAGCTGTAAGACCAGCTGCTCAACAAATCCCAGCGATCGGATCTCAATGAGGAGATGCGGCACGCGCGTCTGTTGGTCCAACTTCTGCCTTAGGTGACAAGGGCGTCGTAGCTCCCTCTTTGAAGATACATGGGAATTTGTATTTTTGAAAGGCACCCCTGTTGAGGCTTAAGATGCCCTAAGAAAACGGCTGTCAAATCTTCACACAACCTGGACAAGACCATCAATCCTGAGGTGGCCATCCCCAAGTAGAAAATGACTCAATTGACAGACGCGCATCCTAGCAGCTGACCAATGCGACTGTAATGATTTGATTGTTTGCAGGAACCGTTTAGTCGCTCCCTTGGCTTCAGCCAATCGTACCCAAGCTTGAACCACATACGTAAACGAGGCGGGCCGTGACCATACGGGTTTAAAGACCCATGCAAGGAGACCCAAAGCTTGAGCCACCCCAGCTCAGGACGAAACACCTGAAAACAGATCTGGTCCTGAGGCCTGCATACCAGCCTCCTAAACCTTGAGCACCAACCCCGTAAGCCTGCAGACCTCCCAAACCCAAAACCGGCCCTGAAACCTTTCACACCCTTCTTGACCTTCTCAACTGTCTCTCTCTGGCTCCTTTGCTTTGCTCTGCTTTTAAAATGGCCATGACTGGAGTTCCCACTTGGCTTAAGCCCGCCCCGGCATGTTCGTCCCATGCATCTTGTTCTGGTCTTAGTGGGTAAGGAGGCGGCACCTCATCTTCCGTGGGGTTCACACTTTCCCCCACCTGCTCGTGTTCTTTCTTTCTTTCGTACGGGCATTGAAGCGAGCTCAAGGCTCTCCCCGGGGACTACCCCGGGCATCATAATCTAGATCAAGGGGCTGCCAGCCTTTACCTGTTGATGCGGCCACATCGATTTTGGGTGGGGTATTCCCTCAACTCACATCCTTGGGTGGTCCATGGAATTCGTGCAGTGAGACTAGCAACCTCGCATGCTGGGCCGGACCTTAGGGGTATAGAACGCATGTGTAGCTGCCTGACCTGAAGCTTGCTCGTGGTGCTACTTGGCTGCAAGTGGAACTACTGGAGGCTCAGTGGCGCGCATCTGGGGTGGAACTACAGTATGAGGCTTATCCTCCTTTGTTGTGGCTTCGTTGTTATTTTCCAACTGCTTTTGGTGTACATTCGGCGCGGAGCTAGGAAATGCTTGGGGGCTTGGAGATTCGGCTCGTGAATTTACAGTTCGGCAGCTTATCCTTGCTCTGTCGGATCCCCAGCTGTTCTAGTTCCTCTTCCGCAGGGCCTTCGTATTCGCCTCTGTCATCTGGTGCTGAGTCTGGCTGCGTGAGCGACGCCATGAAGATATCATGTTCCATGGCTCGTTCCCGCTGGTCTGTTGCGCAAGGGTCTACTGTCGCTACTTGGCGGCCTGTCACTGGTGGTGATTTGCTGCGTGCTGCTGCTGTTGCTGCTGTTGGTGAGTGGTTGTGTGTGGAGGTGGCAGCAGTTGTGGTAGGTCTTGGCAGGTGGGGTTTTGTGCCATGGTGAGGACGTCTCTGTGGTGGGCTTGCGCGTGTGATGGAGGTGTGTGCTGGATTTTGGCAATGAGGGTGCTTAGGGAATGTGTGAGGGTGAAAGCGTCTGTTGCCACCTGGAGCTCTGCCACTGGTGGCCACCACGCCCTTCTTCACGACCAGTCTCTTCTCATGATTCCGCATGATGATGCGGGGCAACATGGTGCTGCGCGTCCAGTTCTGCTTGAGCCGCGAGTTCTCTCTCATAGTCCGCGATCTGATGCCTCTCCTCCTCCGACTTTCTGTCCCATTGCTCCATCTCTGCCCACTTGGTTCTGGTCGTGGCTCAGCTACGACTTCTGGTTCTATTATTCCTGCCGCTGTTCCCGACGATGCCCTCGACTCCGATGTCTCCGGTCCCGGTGGCATGTGTAGAAACGGAAGACCAGGTTTAGTCGCCGCTAACCACGGCAGAATTCCTCCAAAAGCTTGGATCCAACCCCCATGTACGTCTTTTCTGGTCCGGCTGGTTCTTCCGTTCTGCTGGCTTCGGGTCGCGCTGTTTCATTTGGTTCCTCCACGCTCTGTAGTTGGGCCGGCTCTCTGAAGTACTCGATGACGGGAAGGTATGGGTCTGGATTGGCATCGAGCTATCCGCGGTGGAACCCCTCCAAAGGCCACCACCCAATCGTATGGGTTGTCGCTGGTGATGGCCAGCTCCCCTGCCGGTTCCGCAGGCGGCTCTGCTGTCGCCCTGCACGGTCGCAGTTGCGCAGGTACTCATTCCGGAGCATCATCATCATCATCATCATCATCATGCTGTGAATGTGTTCCTCCTACTCGTTTCGAGCTTCCACCGGGACCAGAGGGTTCCATACTACCGAGTTGCGTCGCCCCCGTTGAGTTAAGCTGCGTAGCTGTCGGTTTGCTTGACGGTCTCCGAATCGTGCTCCATGTGCTCCGTGTCATGCTGGCTCGCCGCCGTCTCCGCCACTGTCTCCGGGTGGTGCTCCGCGTGTTTCGGTTCTGCAGGCGCATCCACTGTGTTGGGAACAAAGCCACCACCAGTGAGCACTGTTTCATCCGAACCTTCCACTCATTCAGTGGATCTCGGAGGTTTCATGCCACTGCTTGCACTCC